AGGAGAGGAGAGGAGAGAAAAGAGAAAAAAGAAAAAAAAAAAAGAAAAGAAAAGAGAAAAGAAAAGTAAAGAAGGAAAGAAAAGGTGGTCTTCCCCAAAAAGGCAGGCAGTTAATGAAAAAGGTAGGACATCTAGTTGCTGGAGTGGAAACAGTAACATTCAGTTAACAATGGAATATTTAAAAAAAATAGTTTTCTTTTCAAATTGTAACCTGTGGTAAAACATAGAAAAATGTACTAAACAAGCTTGGTATAAAACAGAGTAAAATTTTCAAATAAGCCCAGAGAGAAAGCACAATGTTGGAAGGGACGGGGTAACAAGGGAAAAAGAGAAAATATTTCATACAAAACTACCTATTACAATACAGAAAAAAGTATAAAACGTTCCTATTTTGGAACTGAAGTACAAAATGACACTGGCATTGGATCATTTCACTATCTAGCCTGAGGAGCGCTCGGAGGGTGGGAGAGATGCTAGAAGGAAGAAAAGGAATAGCGGTGTTTTAGTCTCAAGTTGATCAGTCCAAATTCCACCCGTTTTCCAGTTGAAAATCTTGCCTCCCTCTGTAACCTCTACCCCTAAGTCAAAGTTCATTCAGGCCTCAAAATATTGTTAGGAAGTCCACAAACACCCTACACACTGGCTGGGATCTGTGCGTGCTAGAGCTAAATTTGGAAAATGAAGTAAATCTACAGGCTAAAGTGGTGAACACATTCAGCCTTTGAAAAAAACATGTATCCCTGTGAAATATATATATATATATATTAAATTCTCTGTGGTTAGAAACATATTTAAACTAACTAGCCACAGACCAAACTAGACCTGCATTCATCCAATGCTGGAATTTTATGCTAAAGACTGAGGTCCTTCTTCTTGGTCAGAAGTAGGCGGCAGTAGAAGTGGTGCCTTTGTTGCTCCACTAAACCGCTCCCTGGGTGGGTCTTCCCCATATCATGTGTTGTGAGCACATGCAAACCCCTGCTTTAAGGAAAGGACTGCCCGGACTTTGGGGCCCACCCAGGGCTCATGTGCTGTGCCTCAGGATGGGAGAAAGCTACAGATGATAAAATAGCCTTGTACAGAAGCAGACGGATTTCACAAAGAGGCATATAAATAGGGAAAATCCTGGAGGAGGGACTTATGCATGTGACCCAAAGTCCAGTTTATAGTCACTTTCCTGACAACACATCTTGAAAATCCTGTGTGTATGCATGTGTGCGTGTATATGCTGGTGGTTTTCATCCCTACCTTTTTGCCCATGCCCTTTCCTACCTCTTAGTAAGGCCTAACAAGAGTTTATATGAAACCAAGAATCTGTCCAAGCTTCTCTCAGCCCCCAAATTAGGGACTGAGGGAGGCTGGAGCCCTTTGAAAACAAGATGGCAGAACTGAAGAAGTGAAAAGCAGTCTCTCTTTTCAGCTTAGGGATGTCCCTCACCCCTTTCACAGCACCAAAGTTTCTTTGCAAAAATAGTATCTGAGATACAAAAGGAAAGGCAGATGTGCTTGTGAATGCATCTCGCCAGGGCCTGGTCCAGGATCAAGGGCTTTACAAGAACAGAGGGTTGGGAGCAGCTGTCTCCAAGGTCTCTGGCTATAGACAACAAAGAGCTGGTCCCCCGCAAGGTCAATGTCGGCTAACTGAGACAGTCTTCATAAGAGCTTTCGGTGGAGAATCTCCCAGACCATCCGCTTCCGGAAATATGGCATGTGTTGCTGTAGGGACACAGAGATACACTTAATTTTTTTCATTGTTTTTACCCAGACCCAATACTCCTTTCTTTCCTTCTCAAGGTTTACAACTAAAAGACCTTCAGTTGCATTTTTGGTCTTTCAAATGGCTCAATTCTTGATTACATTTAATTTTTTTCCATTGTTTTCTACTGCTATCTCTACTGCTATTTTCCATTATTGCAGCCTTACAAATTTTACTGGGCATTGCCAGAAGTCCCCAGGTGATACCCAAACTTCTCTAAGAATTGTGAGAATGAGGTCTATCAAGTCCTCTATGTTGAACTTTGAAGAGGATAGGAGTCTAAGGCCTGAAAATCAAAAACTCACTTTTTAAGGGAAGAGTTATAGGAACTGTTAAGAGTCAGTTCCACTCAAGGGCTATGGTGGAAGAGTCTGGTAAAACCATTAATTTAAAGTGGAGGACATAGAGTAAACCCTAATCTCCAGTCTCAATCCACTTTGGTCTCTGAAGGACCACATGGATAGAAATAAGCAATCACAAACTAAGAGAAGAATAATTAGCTGCATCAGGTGAGGGCAGGGGAGGAGGGCAGCATGAAAAATACACTAGGAGTTCAAGGTGTAGCCTGTTCTAAAACCTGACTGCTAACCAAATGAGAAAAGAAAGAAAACTTGCTCTAGTCACAGTTCTCGGTTTTCTATAGGATTTGAGGTAGGTGGTGGGGGAGAGAAGAATCTGCTAATGACCAGGATTCCTTGACTACAATATGTGATATAAGGTAACCTAGGATGTGGCCTATCACTATCCTTCTTTTTCTATGGTACAGGCAGTAACCACCAGTGTTATGAGCCATAGTCAGATCCCCCTAAGTAGAGCAAGTGGATGAAAATACATCTATCGAGCAGCCTGGAGACAGGGTGGTCACAGGGCTCCTTTCTGAAGGCTCAGAGCTCACCTGTGTGAAGTTGATTGGTCTGTCTTTGGTAATGCAGTCAGCATATTTGCAGGCAAACATGCCACAGTCACTTCCATTCATCTGCTGTGGAATTTCCTGAAAGGTCAAAAATTAAAAGGTGACATTGTTCCAAGCTTCTTTCCTTCTTATTAGATTATAAATAAGAACCAAAGAATATAAATATTACAGGTTTCCCTGAATTTTGAAGAGATGACCCTAAGTCCACCACCCAGAACAACAGAGGCTCATAGAAAAAAATACAGTATCTCAGTCAGGTCTCCATATTAATATTAATCTTCATATTAATAACACAGGAGACTACCTTAGACTTCTATGACACCCAAGGATGTAAAAGGATGTAAAGACTAGTTCCTCCCACAAGGGCCAAACAATCAGCAAACATTTCCCACAAGAGTGAAAAGCTCAGCAAACTAGCTGGGCATTTAGAAAACCTAGTTCTGCATAAGAAACACATTACCAGTTTTCCCACAGACAGAGCTTACCCAATCAAGCTGAAGTCAGGCTAGACACTAAGATAAAAGGTCCCTGGGAATCAAGCAGTAAAACCCTTTCCTTCCAAGGATTTCTACTTCATCAAGGTGAAATGTACCTGGCTTTTCTTGCTGAAGAGCTGCCAGCCATTGGTGTCAAACTCTTTCCTTTTCTTGTCAATGCTTTCTTGCTTTAGGTATTGGCTAAAGGCATTGAGAGAGAATGAGATGAGCTGTGTAGAACAATGATGACAGCTGCCACCCTAAGAATGGGGCTAACAATCCTTAAAAAGAGTTTTTGTCTGTACTTCTGAGGAAAAGAGTATATAATGCTGGGCCGGGAAGCTTTGGACTCATACGCTTCCCCTGCAACTCCCATAATTCATGCCCATCCTGGCAACCCAAGAGAAACATGACCTCTGCCTCTGACACCCAGGTTTCCTCTACCTATTGTTCCTCCTGAGGAATGGGTTTTGATTCTTTTCCTTGGTTTATACGGTCCTTTAGAACTCAATCTCATGGAAGAAGGCTTGTCTAGCAATATTAAGGCATTTTTTCACTATTTTTAATTTTGACTCTCCAGTGTGAAAATTCAATCCAAATCACAAGTTGATGAGTGCATACCTCATACACAGCACTCTTCTTAAGTGTAAACTGTTCAACATTCTGGAACCTACCTCCTCCTGGCCACCAGAGTGGTACAGTGAGGAATAGGCATTTTGGAAAGAGAAACAGATAAAGGATATAAAGAGATTTGCATTCTGGTTCCCAGTTAAGCTACTAACTAGGAGGACCTGAGCATATCAAAGTCACCTCTGTGGGTCTTGGTTTCTTCATCTGAAAAATTAGGAGGGTGTATTAGATGATTTCTAAGTAGTTTCTATATCTATATGTATATATTGACTCATTTGTTATTTTTAGTGCGCTGGGACAACAGCTGTCCCATATATTTGGGGTACTATTATATTCCTATTAAACTTTACTTAACTCAGACATAAAATATCCATTCTTAATATGAAGATTTCCTTTATTAATCACTCCATTGAAAGTATCAAAGCACTGAGTTCAAAAGCTGGAAAAACACAACATATGCCCCAACACCAAACTCTTTTGTCCTCAACTCCCTACTTACAGGAGGATCCTGCAGGCTTCATTGTTTATCCCACCCATAGAGTCATAATAGGTAATATTCTTCTTTCGAAAGTCCACAACCTGGGAATAAAAAAATCTGTGTGTTTATAAAATGAAGAAAAGTAGTTTCTCAGCTTTTCCCTTCCCTGGAATTTGGAACCTTTTGCCAGATTTCTTTTGAAATCACAACAAGCTTAACTGATATTTTGCATTATATCATGCTTAAGCTGCGAGGAAAGAAGAAGGGGATTATTTACATAGAACTATGGTGGCCTCACTAATGGCCCTGAAATCTTTTTCTAGTATGTAGGTTCTTCATCTACAACGGAGACAACAGTGAAGACACACATGCTCTTCAGAGACTGTAAAATGAATGAGATCATTTCCACATAGTTTGAGAAAGATAGCAAAAGATTTGGGTTTTTTTTCTTTATGTGGAGAATTTCTCTTTGGCTTTATGCTTTTAAAATGTAAATCAAAACAGATTGTGAAATAACTTTATTTTTATTAATATATTAAGCTAATGTATTCATGTTCTCAGGGTCATAAAAAGTATTAAATTACCAAGCATGCAAATCATAATTAGGCAGAAAACAATAGTCACAAAATCTAGGTGGACAGCATCATAAAAAGTCACTTATTCTCCCCATGCCTTGCCTTGAGGTTGTTTAGACTTACAACTCCCTTTTAAATATTTCCAGAAAAGGAAATTCCACAGCTTTCTTCAAAGTCTAAGTATCTCCCACTCTTGACAGGAAGTTCATTGATTTATCCAATTTTCAGCCAACTAAATACTATTCTTTCTCACAATTATCCAGTGAAAATGTAAAATTACTACTCACTACTCTGTATATTCTATAATTCTGTAGATTTCTTTTAAATTTGATTAAAGGAGAGGTACTCACAGCAAGACACCAGTGCACTCCCAGGTGAATGGGCACCAAAAGAATATCAACAGAAAACACATCCACTTTCTTTGTCCAACGTTTCACTGCCTGATAACCAGCCGTTTTTAACTTAGTGAAAAAGAAGGTATTAAATGCATGCACACTTGGTAATCCCTTCTCTTTACTTCGCTCCATCAACATATTCATGTAGAAATTGATGATCTGTGGGAAGACATTTATGTATTAATATAGATATTCAGTACTTTCAAAACAGTTGTATTGTATGAAGGAGAGGCAGTTACTGTATTGCACAGCATACATTATTGTTCCCTAATCAATTAAGACTTCAACACCCAACAGCCTCATGCTCCTATATCAAATTCTGGAGGCTTGAGGTGCTTGTAAACAGTGAAAACAGAAAAAGGGAACGAACACACACACACACACACACACACACACACACACTTGGGGTTGAGGATCCATATGGGTGCATGCTGGTCAGATCTGTAGAAGACTGGGGATTAGGTCAAAAAACAAGAATGAGGAAGAAGGGGTGCTAGAAGGCGAGACTTAAGAGAAAATGAAAGGAAGGACCTAAGCAGTTTGATAAGACACATTAGTAGTTACTTTAATCTACAGTGACTGAGTGAGCAACTTAAATAAATCCTGAGCTCACAGTCTTGTACAGTAAAGCTAAGACCAACAAGTTCAATCCTTACATGTGGTTCACCTGATTCTGCACAGACAGAAAACTGTTTCATAGCTGAAGACTGCCTTTTCAGCCTAATAAGCCATCTTACTGCTTTGGTGTCAAGTAGAACTGAGTGACAGGATAAACCATCAACCGTACTGGGTAAAACACCTCTAAACTGACAGTAGCTCATCAGCACTGTACCTTTACAGAGGCAGACATGGATGTTGCATAAAAACCTATATTACAGGAGACCTGAAACTCCAGTTACAAACATGAAGAGTAAAGTTCTCCTCCAGAGTCTATACAGTTAGCTTTCTCAATTTGTTGATTTTATTTATGCCTCCAATATCAAGTTAGAGTGAAATAAATTTAAATGCTTATTATGGAAGATACATGATTCTTTCTGTTAATGAAACAATGTATTCTCTAATACTGACTGTGTCCACTATGGTTCCTGTAGGTCAAAAACTCCTTGGTACTAAAGCCTGAAAGTTACTGTGCCGGAAGTTGCTGCATACTTACTTTACGTGGCCAGCTAAGGCCAGGCCAGTGTCTGTCAACTGCAAGGAATGAATGGGCTAACTGATCCACAGCTTGGAAATATGACTAAGAAAACAGGCACATTCTTCAGAATGCTTTTTGGGGAATGGGAAAACGCCCCTGTCCTTTGACAAATATTTACACACTAGAATGCCAGAGCAGTGAGCTACTGCCCAACAGTAGGCAACTACATACTGGGTAGGCAGCAGGGAACACTGCCAGGAACATACCAAAACATGGTCTAGACTAGAGAAAGGGCCTATAGAAGAGGATGCCTAGGTAGTTGCAGGGAAACCACATTCGCCTTGAAGCAGAGCTCTGAGGGTGGGGGTGGGAGGGAAGACCAGGGCTGAAGAAAGACACTGTTCTGCTTGCATCTCTGAAGACTAAGCAACAGAGCCAGCAGGTCCAGAGGACTTGGATTGTGGCTAATCCTCTGTCTAGTGTCATGCCCAATAGATAATAGGAGCTCAGTTCTTTTAAATAATGATAATGAATCAAAACATAATTAGGATCACAAATCTCTCAAACTGAAGCTTTCAATCTAATTCTGCCCCCAAGGATAATGGTGCTAAAGATGATTCTAGGCCCATGAAAGGCAGCCAGGAATGAAGGAAGACCTGCCCAACAGGCACAGATTTCTAGGCTATAAACTACATTCCCTAGTGAGAGAAAATCTGCAAGAAAGGATTGATTCCTCTGGTATTCTACTCATCCCATAGCCTTAGCCATGTTACAAGGCTAAACTCTTTAATCCAAGGGGTAAAATGAATAGGCTGATGATCTACCATTCACTGTAAGCCAAACCTTCCATGGTGCAGACAAGTCATATACTCTAATAGGCAATAAGGACTCGAGCAGGGAGTGGAAAGAACCAGGCAGAGATAAGGAGGACCAAGCACATGAAAGCCATGGAGATGAATCTCCCTCAGGTGTCCATTAGAGGAACATCACCTTTGGCATCATTACCCTGAAGTAAAAAAGGATGACATAAATGAGTTACCATGCTACCCATGATTTTCCTAGGAGGAAGGAGTTCTAGAAACCAATGAAATTAGACTTACACGGTCTGGACTGTTAGGTTTTTTATGTTTTTATTATAAGAGTGTGGACTATAAAGCTGAAGACCAACCCAGCTTAAGAAGAACAGAGACCTAATGATCAGGTCTAATTAGATCTCTAGTCTAATTCCTTTGAGAATCCCTCTCCCATCACTTCAGTTCTGCCCCCAACCAAGTTCTGTCCACTGCCAGGAAAATGGCCTCCTCCAAAATCAGCTGGTTAATTAGCTCTAAGGAGTGATCTGGGCTCTTTTTCATCTCCCCTGTACCCCAGTAGGAGGGAGTCTGGTGGCCTCAATGTTCCTTCCCATTGGCTGAGGATGTATCATCTGACATCGGAGGCAGAAGAGAGATCCAAGTTTCCTCAGTTTTTCAGCTATTACTCCATTCAAAAGAGGAAAATTGCCATAGTTCAACCAAGACACAATCATACCAAAAAAAAAAACAAAAACAAGCTAGGAGTTAGAGAACAAAAAGAATCCTACGTGTCATCTCGCAGAGGAGGGCTGAAGATGAAGGAAGAAGAAATGAGAGAAGGGATCACAGTGTTTACGATGAAAGAGAAGCAGTGATAGAGCATTTGCTTGTGTTTTGTGAAGACCAGGGTCTCTCCCTTCCTATAGTGAAAACTTTTTTGTACACAAGACTCTCTTAGCTCCAGAAGATCTTGAATTCCCATTGAAATAAGGGGCTAGAAGTAGTAATCAGCCCTGTGCTACTGTTTGTCTTGCCAATATACCAATATGTGGGGACAACTGCCAGTGTGGGTCCACTTTTCACTCTTTTTGGGGCCCACAATTAGCTGTATGCCTACTGCAGCTCCAGTGACTAAGGGGCTGCCCCTCCTTCTGCTTTCACAGTCTTGGCCATGAGCGCCTGCTTGTCTATGCAGTGCTTTTTGCGGGGTGGGACTGTTGTTTATAGTATCTTGTTCCTTTGTGATTTTATTTGAAGAGCTGCCAGGCTGAAGCTGGAATAGTTTTTTAAAAGAAAAGCCTACAGTGTTTTCAAACTAAGGACTCAATCCTTTTTCTGTATGTTACCACAATGACATAAATGACCATTGCTATTTGTATCTTCCTTCTTGGCCAGTAAACCGGCCAAACTATTGTTTTCTCATCCATTTATAAGTAAAACATCTCAATAACAATAATATCTTAATTTTTAACCTTTCCCAATTTTACACACTAAACCTTTCTAACTGGCTTAGAAAATGTTCTGAAAGTCCTGGGCTTAACAGTGCTCCTAAGAGGAGACCAGGCAAGTTTCGGAGGGTGGGGGAAAGATGGGGGAGCCATTTTCCCTGTTTTACTTCTCTACATTTTCACCTTGACCTCCCTGTTCTAATGGCTAAATTAAATCTATCTCTTTCAACCACAAACCACAAAGACTAGCCAAGCAGCAGCACTTATGAGTCAGGTCATTCACTCCTAAGATCTAACCTGATTAATACAGAAGGTAGACTTCACGTAAGCTCTGTGTACTGCATCTCTCACTGTGAACATGCACCCAGGATTTTTCTCACTTGCAAATTCAAGTCATAAATTATTAGAATTTCTGCTAAAGTTTTAGACGAAGGCAGACAACACCTATCTTTATGGAGTGTGATAACTACAATTACTATTCTCCCTATGACCCTGCATAAATCCCTGGTTTATCAAAAGGACTACTTCTATTAAGAAAGACTTTTAAGAGATAACTATAATGATGTGGAATCTACTGGTGAGTCATGTTGGAACACTAAAATTTCCAATCTGATCACTCTTTTCTTCATGTAAGAGTACACACTGTATGGTAGACACATCATATTCACTTCACTAATTTATCTCATTTTGTCTAGTTTCTTTCCCCTTCTTATGGAATCAGTTGTTATTCCCTAAGGAAAACCTATCCCCTGTGCTAGGCTTGTCTAGTTGGGCTTAATGTTTTACATTAAACGTTTTGCTCTTTACTGAGCATCACTTAAATTTAACGGCTTCTTGGAAACAACCAGGAAGCTATGATCACTACTAATTCTCCATTTCCACTTTTGTTGTGAAAGTCAGAATGCTAGGCAGAGTCATGTGCTCTGATTTTAGATACTGATTCTGCAATTAAAGGTCAGATGATCTTAGTATATCCCTTATTAAGTCTTACTTCTTACTTCCCTACTATCAATCACATAAGACTATCTTCTCTACACATGAGGCTATCGTGAGGCAGAATAGCTGAAAAACATTTCTTTCCTTTCAGAGATTAGACTTACAAAATAGGTTATTATCTGCCTGGCTAGCTAGCTTTGTCATCAGTGTCGTCAGTCTGCTCCACAGATTCCACCTTAATACTCCTGTACTCCCTCACTCCCCATAAATGCTAAGAGTCTTTTCCTTATGGTGTTTCCCTAGCTGGGAAGAAGTCAGAAATACAGAATACCAAGAGTCTGATGCTTTTGCACTTTGGAAATAACTGACAATAACTAATAAGGTTTGCAAATAAAAATTTTAAAAAGACATGTCTGCTTGCTATTTTCCCAATTCATCCATGAAAATTATTAGTAAGCGATGATAGGAAAAACAGGGTCCTGGAGGGAAAATAAAGAGACAAGAAATGCAGCAGCATCCTGTCTCTCCACATGGGATAGGACATATTTAGTCCTGTATAGAGGAGGAAGTATTTCCAGCTCACAAGCATTTGGGTACCTATTCTGGTTTGTTTTTTTTTTAAGTTTATTTATTTGTTTTGAGAGAGACAGACACAACATGAGCAGGGGAGGGGCAGAGAGAGAGGGAGAGAGAATTCCAAGCAGGCTTTGTGCTACCAGCACAGAGCCCAGTGTGGGCCTTGAACCCACAAAGCTGCAAGATCATAACCTGAGCTGAAGCCAAGAGTCAGATGCTCAACCGACCCAGGTGCCCCTACTCTGGCTTTTTATATCCTTAATGATTTTC